CATTTTCTCCCTGGGAAACCGAACACAGCATGTCCAACTTTTCAAGCATCCTGTCTCTTTTTTTTCTCTCTTTTTTTCTCTCTCTCTCTCTTTTTGAACAATTGCATTCTGTAAATGCACACAGAGACAGCTGGGATTTAGTCAGCTAGGTAATTACAGGACGCCAGCCGGGCTGCAAACCAGCTTCGCCACTGAAAAGCTGATTGCTTAAAAGAGATGACAACGAGAGGAACAAAATGTGATAGGTGGATTTTACTGTGAATATCACTTTTATCAATCAAAATACAATAATTTAAACATGGTTGTCTTTGTGGAACTTCTGCCATCTGTTGGTGGAAAATTGGTGGCATTACCCAAACGTATATTCAGGAAACACCTTCTGCTAACTTTGCTTTTTGATGAACTTTTATGATATTGTAGCCATGCTATGTCTCTGAAAATAAATGTTTCACCAAACATGGTATCGATTCCTGAGGGACAAAATGGGTTCGATCACACTCACTTTCAAAGATGATGTTAAACAGTTAATCAGTTTAAAGTGTGCACGAGTGTGGAAGTAGATCTGACTTTATTATTGTAGATGTTCATATTTCATACTAAAGGAAATATGAACTAAAGGAAATCGTGTAAAACTGCTTTATTCTTCCTTTTGTTCATCTCCTACCATTTGTAGTCCATTTCAGTGTCCAAACTCCCCGTTGATGCAAGATCCAATCAAATAATATGCAAATTTCCTCCACCGCCGTTCTTTGTGGAAGAGCACAAAGAACAACGTACAACGGCTGCTGTGCAAACAGTCAAAGCAGAATTGAAATTGCTTCAAGCTGTTGCCAAATTTGTAATGCTGGAAAACAGGAGATGTCTGGCCTTGAACGTTTCTGACGTCGCTGAAATATATCAGCAACGATCAGGCGTATTTTCATCTGTAGGTTGAAAATGCACAGCGGTATCACTGGCTTGTGTTGAAAACATTGGATTATTCAGAAACCGTGCATCTCTCTGCTTTGTACCTGTGAGTCACAGTGGTGGTTTGCATTTGAGCGAGCTAGCTAGCTAGTAAGTGGTTAACCTGTTGGTGGTTCCTCTGGATGGGTCAAATAGTTGCTTTACTGCAGCTTAAATCTGTGTAAGGTCTAAGAAATAAGGGCCTCCAGTCCCTGAACCTTCGACTGGGGCGTCGATCATTGACCAGACGTCCAGAGATGCATTTGTTTTGTCCTCTCCAGACTGTGTTGACATTTTGAGAAACAACTGAATATGTGACTCCCCTTCCACCACTCCCAAAAAAATAGCGGAGAGACGGCATTAAAAATAACGAGCCCTTCAGCTCTTTTGCAGCCAGTCAACATATTGTTTTAGTCTGGCACAGACTGCTCACTTTAACCCAGCAGAGGTTTAACAGTTTTGTACTTTAAGATTTAATAGTGTGAGAAAAATTCCCAGCTAAAGCAAATATGCCTCTAATAGCCCATGGAGAAGCAGTTAACCACAATCCCGTTGGTGTTGTCCGAAGGCGGGTGCTGCAGTTGGGTAATTTTGTGGGTCACAAACAGGGCAGGAAATTGACATTTTCCACTGACTGTATAAAGTGACTGGCCACATCCAACTCCCCTCCCTCCAATTTCACTTTCTAAGCTGTAACAGCCAGATGCTTTATGATTTTTTTTTTTTTTTTACAGTACTTTATTGGAAAAAGAACACTTGTTAGTTTCAATCTGGGACCTAGACCAGGACTGGATCCATAGCCAGAAAAGGAATGTGGCTAATGGTTACAATTTTCATTTTCCACCTTGGATGAATTCCCAATGTACAAAGGCTGGTGTTTGAATAAAACTGCAGATACAAGATTAACTACGTGAAACGTAATTGATATTTATGTATTTGTGCGCTTCAGTTGCACATGGTCTGTTTTTTCTGGAGGTACATACCCAGTGATGTTACCACAGCACAGCAGGATTAATGAAACCATTAATCGATCCTTTTTTTCATTCACTTTCTTTTTTTTTCTTTCCACTTGTCAATATCACGGGTGCAGTTATTAGGTCAGTGTATTTTCCACTTACAGCCTTTTCCACATGTGGGACGCTAACTGGAGTAGGCTAACGGGATAATCAAGTAGCCTCTGGGCGAGCACAGATGTCCAGTGATTTAACATCGTCCCCAAGTGAAAAAGTCACAACTCATGTCATGGGAAAGTAGAAAAGAGATGGTTTTCTCTCACACATGCTACTGTACTTTACACGCTCTAACTGCACTTACAAGGATCCCCTCACCTCGACACGCTGAATGCTCGGAGCGACGGAGAGAATTTGCACAGATGTCGTAGCGGTGGCTTAACAAAATGTTGCTAGCAGTTGCTAAATGAAGTGGAATTTGTTAATTTGACTATAGCACATGCAACAGACATAAATGTCATAAACTGGGCACAGCTTTGACTGATAGGTGGGGACAAAGTGCGTCCAATCGGATTTTTACTATGTGGAAAACACTTTGACCAATATTAGTTGGAAACATTCGCCGCCTGGGTTGCATGAAGACCAGAAGCAGTTTGACGTAAATTCAAAACATTCTTCAAGGAGTAAACGTCATCCAATACTGTGCAGAGGAGCTTTTGTTTTGACGCAAATTCACTCACATCAGCATGTTAAATGCTTGACGTAGCTGACGTCGCATGGGAGTTGGCCATTTTCTGATTTTTGTCAGAGTGAGGCCACTCATAAACTGTATGTAGAGTATATAACTTTTAGGTCTAAATAATTAGGTAATCATTAAGTATGTGGGGAGGGGAAAAAAAGCTTTGTCTCAAATAACTAAAACATCAAGTTTTATTGTTTTTGTTTTTTTTAAGTGATTGACTATGGAGGAATTCCTCCATAAGTGGATCACTGAATTAAAATCAGCTTATAGCCCCATGCAATAGTTCTGCAGACACTACGTTTGAAGGACACAATAAATCCATTGTTGCAAACACTGTAAGCTTGAATCTGTCCAGATCAGGTTAAAAAAAGAAAAAGAAAAAAAACTTAGATGCCTTTTTTCTCTTGACTCAATAAGCAAGAAAAATCCACCACAATTCACTGATGCTCAACTTTTCTCACAGCTCCTGACCTCCTTCTCCTTTTCCTGCTTTTCGCTCTGCTCTCTGACGAGCAAGATGCATAATAATTTTGTCATCTTGGCTGCTGAATTGGGTCAACGTTTTTCCACAGCCGGCTGGACCAAGAATCTACGCCCGAGGCTGAAAACAGATTCGCTCGCTGCTTCTGTCTGTGTGAACGTATTCAGGCGGACAAATAAATCGTCCCTCTATTTATGCCTGCAATCTAAAATCAGACTAATTGTTCTGTGGTTCAAGTTGGCACTGACATTTTATATAAGAAAACAGATATCAGCCTTTTAGCAACTTATCGTGCCTGGTCACCTCTTTAATTTTTTTCATATTTTGCACACATCGTATCCTCCCATTCAGACGTACTTTATTGGGGATTTATGTGGAACGACACAAATCAGCACATGGCTGCAGTGGAAGGAAAACTGTCCATTTTTATGTTATTTCAAACAATACAGAATCAGAAAACTGTGGCAATACTGTGTTGAAGAGCGTTTTACTGTAATTACAGCTAAAAATGTCATGGTTCTCAACATTTTTGCCTAATCTTGTTTGCAAAATAGCTCAAGCTGAGGCAAAGTGGACGGATTGTGTCTGTGAATAACAATGTTTATGAGAGTGTTGGTTGGATTTTGGCCTGGTCTGTGAACAGTTACATCTTTGAACATGACGTAAACCTTTCCATTGTAGCTCTGAATGGACATTACACATTATTATCCAGCTGAAAGGTGAACCTCCAAACCAGTTTAGATTTCTTTAGCAGCCTACAACAGACTTTCTTCAAGGTTGCCATGTTTTTAGCTTTAGTTTACTTTCCATCAACTCTGACAAACGCCCGCATCTCGGCTTAAGAAAAGCGTCCCAACAGCATGAAATTGCCCCATCGTGTGTGTTTCACTGTGTTTATGATGTGCTAAATGTAATGTTCGCCCACTACATTCAACCCTCGTATGGATCATGTTTCATGTTTGCTGTGTCTTTTTTAGAAATTTTGTGCTGGGAAAAAGTTTCACGGCTAGGAACCAATTTGAAAGTCTCTATAACTGTTTGGGGTTTTTTTGGGGGGGGGGGGGATATGGTTATTTCTAAATTCCCTTTTCTGTTATTTTCAATCAAAAGTGAACATGTGAAGGAACTAATTATGGCTAATGTGTCTCTATGGCAGACAGTTTAGCTTAAAGGCAGGTACTTCATCAAGCTGTGCTTTTAGCGTGATGACAGGCTGCATGTCAGAACCAACCTCAACCTGAAACACCCCCTCCCCTAACTCACATCTCATTATGATAACGTGACATTTTGAAAGCTTTAAAAAACCAAACAGGTCCTTATAAAAGGTATTTCCGGATTGACGTATGAGAGATATTCCATCAGCAGTCAATAGAGCGTTTCTGTAGGGTAATTAAACCATGCGACGCAGGAGTTGCTGTCTACTAATTGGGAAAAATGTGAGACAAGTGCTGTTTTATGTCGTGAGGGTGCGGAGCAAAAAGGAAACAGACGGACGACAGAAGCAATACGGACGACTCGTCATATGGCTGAAAATACGTCTTTTGTCGCCATCTAGAGGGCATTTGTGGACAATACATTAGTCTGATAAAAATTCTGAAGCCAAAGCCTCAAACTTCAAGGAATTCTCAAGTATTTTCACAGTTCTCTCTTGAATAATAATAATATATATATAAAATTGTGATTTTGAAACTGGTTGTGTAATTGCTGTTTTCAGTTAATGTTTTAGGTTTCTGCTTGGAAGAGGTTTTGTACATCAAAAGGTTAAATACCTTTGATATTCTTGTTTCTGTCTGTAAGACTTTTTTTTAAATAGTTATAAAACTTTATTAAGGCAAAATGCGTGGTATTTGGATATGGCAAGAGAAAAATCCACATTCAGACATTGACAAAAGACTTTAAGGAATTTATTTCCTGGGTTTGACAATTGTACTCGAAACAAAGGAAAAGAACTCAGTGTTTTTCCAAAACTAAGTTGGTGATAAATGAAAAATGTCTTTTTTGCCATTTGCTGCGCAGTATTTACTAGAGAGCTAACAGTACAGTTATGCAGATTATACTTTTCATAACAAATTCATATTTTACTGTGGGCATTAAAACGCTGTTGTACAAGTTACTTCATGTCAACGCTAGAAAACACTTGTAATTTCACAAATAAATGTATACAGAATTAAAAAAAAACAACTTATGAACGGATTTAATTTTAATAACAGCACAAAGGACAAATTTGAACATTTTTTACATAGTCGCGTTTGTCGGCCTCGTCTCTTCAAAGTAAACTATCAAACTTATGATTTGTTAGGTTTGCAGCTCATGCTCATGTTCATCAACACAACATCACTGACGATAAACAGCAGAAATAAAATACAACAGTTTTTTTGTATTTTGCCATCAAGTCTCGCACTTCATGATCTCTCGGAGGCAGATGGTGGCGTAACAGGAGGAGTCTAGGTCAAAGTTCAAGCTGAGTGCGAGAGACTCCGGGTCCGATTCCTGCTTCTTTGCGCCATGGCCGCAGGCGGCTCTGTGCAGCTGGTAGCTGAGGTTGTGCGGGACGGCCAGCAGGGGGCGGTAGCAGCCCGGAAGGTTCAGTTTGAGGCTGCTGACTCTGAAGCGGCTTTCAGCCAGCCCGTCCCCTGCCAGTCTCTCCTGGTACCAGGCTCTCATTGCGTTTTCTGGATATTTTACGGAGTTTCCTGGCATTGGCAATAACACCTGAGAGGATGCCAAAATATTGATGATGTAATAAATAAATAAAAACTTGATTATTGCATGTGTGCAGCAGTAAAAAGTAAAGCTCAGGAAACGACGTACTTGTTCTAATGCGTAAACTCCTGCTTGCTCCTCGTCACGCGTCACCACATGGATCTGAAGAGACAAAAGGTCATAAAAAGCAAGTGAAATATTTAAGAAGAATGTATGAAAGGGTTGAAAAACCTCCAATGTGGTAATTTATTTTGTGTTTTATTTGGAGAAACAACTTATAAACTGACATGAAAAGAGTTAAATGAGGAACACTTGATCAGCTGAAAGCAGTTAAGGTTCAAGAAAGTCTTTTACTGTTGGGACTTAATGTGAAATCTTTCAAAACGTCCTTGGAAGTTGCTGTTTCTGCTCAATTTCTGATCTTACTTGGGGAGAAATGATCTCTCCAGCGTCCTCGGTTCGGTTTTGTCCCGTTTGCGTCCACACCAGGTCTCCTTGTCGGACACCAAGACCCATAGCGGAGAGCCTGTGTGCCGCCGCGTCGTTCCAAACCCTGATGACCACAAACACGGAACTGCCAAACACCACCAAGAGGATTCCAGTATTTTGGAGTTGTAGTTTTGCCTGAAGCTAACCTGCTACAGTAGGCGTGAGGATAGAACACCCTTATGCTGTGGGGCAGGCTGAGCCACGCCTGGACACAACCATCTGGGCCGGTACCGTAGCGATTCAGGGCGCGGAGCATCAGCCTCTCCCTGGGCTTGGACAGCGGCATGAGTGCCAACGATTCCTTAGGGTTGTCTGTTTGAAGGAAGTGTCTCTTCGCGAGGCTGTGAGGATCATCACTGTCCTCCGGAGAGAAGAACAGACGTACAGCATTGACCTGAAATAATAGAAGAAATGCAAAAAAGCAGTTAGGGATTTTTATTATTTTTATTATTTGTTCTGCTACAGATTACTATAAGTAAGTAAATACTTACTTACTTACAGATTACTATGAGGTGGAACCACTGAGTACCAAGTCCTGAGGTGTTTAAAACCTGACTAGTCACTAACTAGTCTCTTGTAGATTACAACGCTTACACATACATTCTGGACTCATGACAAGCAGTAAAATGGTAATACATAGACAAAAAAAAAAACATGAACTATATATGTATAGTAATAATGAAGTCATATTTTATTTCCTATAATGATGTAATGCAATGAAAATTAAAAGAATAATTAAATACAAAATAAAATCTCAAAACGAAACAGAACTGATAATAAAGAGATGATAAATGACGACATGAAAAGTAATACAAATGACAAAAAAAATAATTAAAATTAATACAATACCACCACTAAATTTAAACTCTTGATATACAGTTTGTTTTAATGGACCGATACATAGTCAAGGATCATTTTCACTCAAGTGTCTCACCATGTCCTCTTTCAGCAGAGCCAATCCTACTCGATCTGACAAAACACTTTGTCCGCTCCCAAACCGCTGTGGCCCATAGTAGTTGACAAAACCTCTCCTCTGCAGAGAGACACAATAAAGATGAACATGGGAGTAGCAAGTGTAGCTACCTACAACAGCTGGCTGCTCTAGTACGTAACATGAAAATGTGTTTTTTAGTATCACAAATTTTCCTCTGACGACATAACTTCAAAAACATTTTATTCAAAAAGGTTTTGTTGATTGCACTTCTTAGTTTATGACAGGGTTTGCTTTTACTCGTAAAACCGCCAAACATATTCTTTGTACGATACACTTGTGTGAATGATGGCAAGATTTAAGCTAAAAGACCTTTACGTTCTCCACAGCTTCCTTCACGAGAGCCGCCAGGCGAGTGTCCCCGTCGGCACCAGAGAGGCTTTCGTCGGAGGCTCCGTGTGGTCTGAGGTTGCGGACCACCAGGTCAAAGTGATTCCCCCGCAGCCGTCCCAGCTTCAGGGGCTCGTTGACCGAGCGGATCTGAGAGAGACGCATCCCTCTCTTCTCAAATTCTGCTGCTTTCTCTTTCAACCTAGAGGGAAAAAAAAAAAAAACATTTACATATGAAGCAGCCGACACAGAACGATTTTTCCAGTAGTCTCTTGATTTTATAGAGGCGACACCGAAATACCGTTGTGGCGAGACCTTCTTGACCACCATGGACTGGTAGGTGACGGCTCTTTTGTCTTTGATGCCGGCGTAGGTGAAGTCTGACGGCAGGACCCCGAGAGTAGCTGCCATGTAGCTGATGGCTTCCAGTGTCTCCAGGTTCTCCTTACGTAGGGTGAAAGCTGTGTAGCATATTAGTGGAACATTTCAACCAACTAGCAATGTGCTGGAGCAAAACTCTATGCTTCGTAGACTTAAAATACTACATGCAGCCTCTCAATGTGAAAGATTCCACAGCCCGTGTTAAAGTTTTCAGAGGCACTGTGGCGCGAGGGTGAAAAAAGCAAGCTCAAATTAAAAATTAAGAATAATCCTGACCTCGATACTGATAACAACACATAGGTGATGCCCAAAACCCAGATCTTACCACTATAAATATCTTCTTCCTTGCGTTCTTCCGCTGTCCTCTTCTTCGGCTTGCCGTGCTCTCTCAGTCTCACTGAGATCGACGTCCTCCCTTGGCTGCTGAAGCTTTTTGTCTCCACCAGCTTCCCGAACCTTCTGTTCAGAAAGTGGTGCACTGCAGTCCTGTGCTCCTTGCTGTCGTCCGGACCAAAAGTGTAGGACGACCCTCGCACCTTGGCGTCGATGAACCTGAAGAAGTCCTCTGCCTCCTCTTCTCTGACCAGTCGGGCCAGCTCCCTGTAGTCGGGGTCTTCCCTCACCCTGATCTCGGGCTGGATGGTGACGGTCAAGAGGAAGGGGAAGCGGTGCCGGACAGCTCGGTGGACGTTGGCTCTCTGGTGTTTGTCGGAGAAGGAGCCCAGGGAGAGCTCCGGACCGGATGGCCGTTTTTCTCTTAGGGTCATCACAAACTGCTCCAGGTCTTCACTCACAGATGGGCCTAAAATAACATCTAAATCAAAGCTTCCCAAGGCAGGAAGTGGGGTGTCTGAACCAGACCCCCAGTCTGATGAAACATCAGCATCTTGCGAGCCTGAACAGTAAAGATTCTCCTTTAACTCTGTGTTTGTCTGGTTTTCCTCTGAGGAGGTGCAGCCAGCTGTCTGCACGGCTTGTGCTGTTTTGACCTTCTGTCCATTAATGTCGATCTCGGTGACAACAAAGTCCTCGATGAAGGTTTTGATGCTTCCAACGAAGCCTTCATGTTTTGAGATGAAGTATGCAGGAACATTTACAGGCTCATCGCCCTTCATTATCACCTTTAAAAAAAAACATATTTAGTTATTGATCATAAATCAACTATCAGGATTATAAAATAGAATTACTTTTATACTCATAAATTAGGAGCACAATTCATATAAAAACTTTAAAAAGCTGAACAAATATCCATGATCAAAAACATTTTTTTTTTGCTTTCAGTGACAATGCTATTTCTAATAACTTGATCGACCAATCGGACAAAATTGCATTGATAAGCATCACAAATACACTTAACATCTAGAATTATCTTAACAAAGAAATCAGACCTACCTTTACTGGTGACTCCGTCATTCCCTAAAAACAAAGGTCTGTGCGGCTTATCTGACCCTCTTCAAATTAAACTGTAAATGTATCATGACTTTATTTAAATCATTCCACTATTTGTTTACGGAACGGTGCCGCAAGCACCGTGTAAACCAGCAGTTTGTAAACACGGCCACGCCGTGACACTATCCAGGTCTACTTCCGTACCACGTGACAGTCATGTGACGTTTCTTAAAGGGAGAGCGTTTGCGTTATTTTTTTAGATATATATATATATATAAACGATGACGGCAAACACATGCACACGTCAAATCTGCGCTGTGAGACAAAAAGTAAAAAAAAAAAAAAAGATTTTTATTGCTTTATACTAAATTTGTGTTGACTGCAACTTAAAAGGCAATGGATTTGATTTTTTTCCCCCCACCAATTACAACTTTTATTGTTGTTCGTCATTTTGACTGATTCCGTAATATTTTATTTTAAACCGACAAAGAACGATTTTCCAGCAGTCTCCATTTTTACACCGTCCACTTTTACACTGACTACTCTACTGCATTTAATTTTTTATGTGGTTTTATTCATATTACAACTTAAACAGAGAATCAAATCCCACATTAATTAAGCTCAGCTTTTTTGCTGCAGTAATAATTAAAAAAACAAAAACACTGACAGAACAATGACATTAAATGAGTCCACTTAAATTAGGAGAGCTTCACCTGCTGATGTCTGAACGCGTAGTGTCACAACTTCCTCTTGGTTCTCATCTAGAGGAAAAATCTGCACTAAAGTTTAGATCAGACCCCCCAAAAGATGTTTCTTTTCAAATCTGCAGTCATTTTCTTTGTTTTGTTCACGTTCGAAATAAGATGATTGTTCCCCCACCATGACACAAAGCGGTCCACAAGCTCTCGGTACTACTACTCAGCTTCTTGTTCATCTCTGATGCGCCCGAGCTGCAGGGTCATCGGAGTATTTCTGCCAAGCTTCACATAATTTAAAGGAAGGATCACTGGAGAAATTTAGAGTGTTTTTCACAATGGAAATCAGAAGATGAAATAGTTATCAAAAAAACAATGCCAAAGAAACTTTTAAATATCTTCAGAAAACAACCCCTGACCAGAAGTTGCAGAGTAAAATACTGTGTCCTCAATATATTACATTTTGTTTGCATTATTAGCTTAACTCAAATTATTCAAGTTGTCTGAAGTACAGAAAGCGTAGTGGAACATTAGGGTAGCTGAAAGAGCTTCAAACACCAATAGAACTCCTATTCATTCTGCACCACACAATTCCTTCAAGAGAAAAACATTTGATGTATGCCAAGATTTTGTTGATGTTCAGTAAATGAAGCGGTGTGAGTCATGAAGAAAACAGTCATGTCTTTCTGTGCAGTATTCGAAAAACATCAGTCTTCCCGGATGTTCGCCATCTGTGTTGAGCTCCAGAGAAATCTTCCGACAGAGAACTCTCAGAGGTTATAGCACTGATGCTCTCGTTCTAAATGGGGCAGAGTATTTTGCAATAAGAAAACACCATGACTTCCTTTCAGTCTCCTCCCACTGGCCCAGCCCAATATTCCTCCAACAAGAACAAACTGTCCGAGTGGAAGTTGGGCGTATTTCGAACTCTCTTTTGGAAGGTGAGGTTGCAAAAGGAAGATGGGGAAAGTCAACGTTTGGTTGAAACGAAGTTACGTCTGCACGATAGGTGTGATAGCAGTAAGTGTTTTCGATTTACTAACAATGTTTTTCTTTGCTGACAAAAGGTATTGCAGGACTCAGTGGAGTCAGTATTTTTTATTTTATTATTTGGATTTTGAATTTACTTGGATTATGTATGCAGCAGGCATATCTTTTTATCTGATCTTGAAATTTGATGATGTAAAACACTTCAAAGAGACAAAAAAGCAGAAACAAAAGAAATATGTGAAGAGTAAAATGAATCATGTCTCCCAACACAATTCATTCCTATTCTTGTGTGTGTGTGTGTGTGTGTGTGTGTGTGTGTGTGTGTGTGTGCGTGTGTGCGTGTGTGTTGTTGCTATTATAGGTAACTGCTGTCTTCACCTTGGGAATAGCTCTCTTTGGTCATGGAATTATTCTGTACGAGGAGGTAACACGCATGCAGAAAATCAAACAAATTTGAAGCTAAATTTGTTTTTTATGTCTTAAAATTAATGCGTGAATAATCTGACGTGAAGCTAGCAACAAATTCTAACTTGTGCTAATTTCACCTTTTAACAATTGGCTGTTTTATTGCACCTTGTGGCGGCGTTGGATTATTTGAATTCTCGGTCAGAACAACAAGAAGGCCTTCGCCTGATATTGGAGATTGCAGAACACTCCTATAGGTCCGATATCTAATATGGTTATGCATGTAAAACATACTGAAAGTCGCTGATGTAAACTATTGCCATTTCCACCTGTCAACATGTTCCGTAAGTGTTCCGAAACCTAAAAGGAAAAGAAACACATTATCAACATGATTGGCGGATAAAAGTTGGTACAACAGTTAGAAAATCCTTTTGATTTTCTTGAGGTACTAAATCGAATGCATCATCAGTGCGCAAAAAGGAGATTTTCCACTGTTCAGAATACGTCGACATGTTTCATCTACAGGATGACCATGCTTTGATGGGGATATATTGCTTCTATGGGTTTTCCGTCATCACTCTCCTCTTTGCCATCATTGGTTGGTTTGGTGTCTGGAAGGAGAAAAAGTGGGCTCTGATAGTGGTAGGTAAGACACACAGGAAAAAAAAAAAACGAATGCTTTTTAGTGAAGACAACAATCTTCCATTATCTAATGCCAGTGTGTGTTTGCCAGTTTGCAGTTGGAATGATCCTGGGATGTCTGTTCTTTATCTTTCTTGAAATATCCCTTCCATTTGCACAGAAAGAGGTACTGCCATCTGCATTCTCAATTTGAAGCTTCGTCTGCTATCTAGTCAGTAGTAAATCGCAGTACGACTCTTGAGTGTGACTCGATAACTATCGACCTCTCTTATTTTAATCCTGTTTTTTTTATGTTGACTAGATGGAACTTTCACTGAAGAATAACTACCTCAGCATGTTGCCTCTCTCAAATGTCAGTGAGAGCGAATTATTGGAATTCAACCATACACAGAGTGAGGTAAGTAGCCTATTCGTCACCAAGTAAATGTCTGTAGAGTTGCCAAGAATTTCACTGAGTCATTGGTAATTTTCAATTGTTCTTTTTGTTTGATATCTTTATTGGTTGGAATTGTAACACCTATTAATAATGTCTAATTAGACAGAATTCACTCCACTGCTATGGTTGCAGTGTTTCCTCTTCATTACAAAATACAAATGGTATTAAATCAATCTCTTTCTTCAAAAGTATACAAATACCCCAAAATGACGCATTTCTGCACATTTATTAAAAATAGAAACCCAAGAAATCACATTCATGTGCAAGTATTCACACCCTTTGCGTACTTTTTAGAGAAAAGTGTAGTAGGATGTATGTAGTATATACATCATATATTTCACTGATAAATGGGGCTTAGGCATTGTATGAAAACCTGCTTGCTGTTTCTGGGGCTTTAAGATAACAAAGCTCTTCACCATGAGTTAACATGTTTAGTTACATTTTCTAAAATTGAAGAGAATAATATATCTTTTTCTTTACTTTCTTCTCAGTTTCGCTGTTGTGGCATCACAAGTCACGAGGACTGGGAAAACAACATTCCCGAATCGTGCCAGTGTGATATAGACTCCTCTGACGATTGTGTGAGTGTTTGTCTGTCCCAAGTCCTTTTTGTAGGGAATGGATTTCTCTATCAGCGTTAAAAGAAAACGGTCTGTATTCCTTTAGGCAGCAAAAAAATAAAAAAAAAACAGCTTGGAAATGGCAGCTTTGGCTGGTTAGCAAGAATTTACATCCCAGTTTCCACTGATTTGAAGAACTTAAAACATAGATTGTTCATCTTTTACAGGAACTGTTGATTGAGAAACATGCAGTTAGATGAATCAGTTTGGTATTTCTTGGTCCACTAGCTTTGTCCTTATGATGTACCATCTATTTGTTGTCAGATTCTTTCTGTCAGAATATAATTTTTGTTCACCTTACAGTTGCACTACTTATGTCTAACGCATGGTAAGATTTCGAACTGTCATAAGAAATAATTCACCTGATCATTCATGTCTCTGTGTTGTAGATAGATACTTATGGACCTATGCACAATGATTCAGGACTGAATGTTTTGGATGTCAAGCCCATCAGGATTTTTGCCAAGGTACCAATCAAAATCTTTGCATGCTGTATTTCCAAGTTATGGTTTCTGTATATTCAGGAGTAAGAAGAACCTGGTTTCAGGATTCAGTTTCTTTCTTCTTTTTTTTTATTTTTTTATTTTTTTTTACCAGTAATTCATGAGATTTTCTTACAAGTCATACGTTAAGGCTTCAACTCTTCCATCCTCTAAAAGCTACATGACAAGTTGTACTGACCAATCTTTTCTCATTCCCAGCCATGCATTCAAGCCTTAATTCAATTTGAGATGCGCTATTTTTCCACATTACTTGGCATAATGTTGGCAAAAACATTGTTGTGGGTAAGTACTATGCTCATTTTCATTTCTGCATGATGTACATCTGTATACAGAAGAAATTGTTGCTAGTCATGTAGGCTTTAACAAATAGATATTTTGTTTTGCTGCCCCCTTCTGCTACTTTCAAAAATTGCAAAGACTAGTAAATAAAAAGCGCCACAAAGTAAAGAACTGTCTTTCTTTCATGTTTCCATAGATACTATCAGTCGGGCTGTGTATTGCGATTCTGTGTCAGCTGAATAAAAAGGTGGAAACTCCAAAAGTGGTCTACAGTCGAGAGGCCAAAGCAGGGAATTATGAAATCCTCAGCGATGCTCAGGAACCGTCTTTGAAAACCGAATGATTTTGTTTTTCTTTTGCGATTCCCAAATATTGGGACAAAAATGTCAGCATCAAGCGATGCTATTTTATAATCAAACGTGTTATAAATATTACGCATATACACCCTGTGGGGAGACTTCTGGAAACCGTCTTTGCGTTTAGAGTGGCTTAGGCTGTACTTTTTAATTTTTATTTTTTTGTTGATGTTGTCTTTAACTTACAGGTGACTCTCATTAAAAGTGAATATCATGAAAAAGTAGGAATTTGTACGTCTAATTTCATCACACAGTTGGGCGATACACTGTGATGTATTTGGATCTATGTGTGCTCATTTTGATGCTTATGCGTAACATAAGTGAAAACCAAATTCAAATCATAAAAAATACACGAAGCATAAAAAAAACAAAAAAAAAAACTGCAGAAATATTGGTTGGATGAAAGTTCTATGTTCAGGACTGTTTCCTCCACTGACCACTAGGGGTCCTCATACTGGAGGACCGCCTTTGTTGTTTGGAAAATGTCACACTGTGTGTGTGTGTGTGTGTGTGTGTGTGTGTGTGTGTGTGTGTGTGTGTGTGTGTCTCAATAAAACAACTTTTAAATATTTTAACTGAGCCATACATATTACATATATATTGTTCCTCTGAAATTTAAATACAACAAAATATACAATGTTAGAAGCATGATTTTTTTTCATAACTGATTGTGACTCCATTTTTTTATCTCCTTTTTCTTGCTTTTATAACATTGAATTAAAAAAAATCACACCATTTATTTTGTGAATACATGTTTTTCCTATATATATATATATATATATATATATATATATATATATATATATATATATATATAATTATGTGTAATGCTACCAAGCCACCCCATTGTGAAAAAGTTGTAATAAATCACACCACAACAAATTTTTAAGCGAAAATCAAAAATCACATTTTTATTCCTACTGTTTACAGAACATTATTTAAGGTTCACATTGTAAATAATAATAATCATCATAATAATAAACAGTGACTGCATAAATAAGATTGCCATAACTTTAAACAATGTACTGCATATCAGGCATTTATGGTTTAAGTGCACAGGTAGACAAATTTCATTTCAAAATGTATAACCAAGGAGATTCTCTCACTGCAGGTAGTTCATGCAGAAAAAAATCAATATTAATGGTGGTGAATCGTTCAAATGTTTTCAGTGGAATTTCTGCTAGAAAGCTGATGACTTATTTCCCAACAATCATATCTCTAGACCTCTATGCAGTTCAGCATTTTGTTTTTTTCCAAATCAAAAGACGGTCTAACTGCATTTCAATGTGCAACAAAAACCAAGACATCTCTTCAATCATGTTAATCTGATCAAATATCATTCACCCATTTAATGTGCTTTTTCAAAACAAACAAAAAAGAAACTGCAATGACAACATTTAAGTTATATACAATGTGCATAACAAGAAGTCAAGACATTCAATGAGAAATGTGACTCATTCTGTTGGTCTAACCTGATTATATATGCAAGAAATACTTGATTATATTCAATAGAAGCATTTGTAAACACTGTTTTTTTTTTAAAAAAAAAGGTGCTGAAAGAAGCTTATAAATATTAATATTTTCCAATGATTATTGTTCACTCTAATGCAGTTTCATATGTGCTTAAGTGACAAAAGAAATCATCTTTTTCATAACTGATTGTATTGCAGATGACATGTTAAGTTAGAGTCCATTTTTAATCACAAACAGTGAAACAAATGGGGAAAGAAAAGACAAAAAGTGCATCGTGTGTGCATGTGGAAGTTCATCTAATTTCTATTTTTAAAAAAAAATTGCATATAATACAAGAACACAATTTTTGGTATACAGTGAGGTTGTTGAAAGCTGCTCAAGATGCACCAATCGGGCTTGGAAAACTAAATAAATAAATACTGCAGTGTTTTTGATAAAATGTTAGATAGCCTCTGAATCAACTGGATTGAGATAATATATTATATAGTAAGTATAGGGTTCCTACACATTTTTAATGGCAAAAAACTATAATTTTCCAGCTCAAATGTCCTTCCTTTTTAGCCCAGTTCTGTGAATATATGAAAAATACCTATATACAGTGGTCAGGTATATACTAAGAACCTAACCCGCACGCAAAAATAAAAGCATTATAAGGAAGAGAAGAAGGAAGCAGCAACACAAAAGGGCATATTTGTGCTTGATTAACACCTTAACCTCACTTCCTGTTTGGCGTATCTACCTATAGCGTAACGGCTTTGAAGAAAGCTTTTCCTTAGAGAGCATTTATGAACATGTTTTAGAGCTATAGATGTTATGAATCAATATATTACAGGATTTCCAAAGGGTTTTCAAGCAGCTAAGTACATTTAAAATACATCTTTCTTCACCAAACATCATTATAACTTGGGAGAGCGCAGAAAACCGCAGTCATAATTTTACAGTTTCGAATCCCAGTTTTTATAACAAGCAGTGTCTACTGCAGTACTGAACCTGTTCAAAACACTGAATTAATCTCGGAAGGTTGGAATACAGAAAATGAGAAAATAATCAATAAATGTCAGACCATTTTTGAACAAATGAAAAAAAAAAAGTAATTATGTGCATATTGAACTTAAAAAAAATATTAAGGAACATCGTTACATTTCCCAAGGGGGGGGGGAAAAGCACCAGAAAAACAACTTACTTGACAAAATATCCTTTGAAAGCACAATCTTCTTTATGATGGAAGCATGTAAAAGTGTGAATATCATGTAAATACAAGTAAAATTGCTTTGTTTTACAGCAGTAAGGCTTCAAACAGTAATATAATAATATTAATCTAACCATGTAGATCACTTTTCAAACATTAGTTACATGCAGTAACATGTATAAAATCATAACATATATTGCTACAGCACATTATAGCCTGGCTATGGTATGCAGCTCCATGTGCCAATTCAAACCACGTACGCTTGCAGGAGTTTGTAAAGTGTGTGTGTGTGTGTGTGTGTGTTTTAAGACGTACTGCTGCCTCTAGAAAGCGCCAGGAACGTATCTGTTGGACTGGAGGAGAGATATAAATTCCTGTTTCCTTTTGATCTGTCCCATCAGCTTGATGCTCATGGCGAGTAAGATGATCTGAGAACGGAAACAGAATGCAAAAAAAAAAAAAAATGCATAAGATTCGAGCAGCTTACTCGCTAAACGCTAAGCGAGGTTAAGTAGAAGGTTGACGTAAATGTGACGAAGCGAAAGCCTCACCCAGAATACTCCGCTCCCAAACTGTATAGCCATCACCAAGGAGAAGGCCAGCTTCAGTTCGGAGAGATAAATCGGCAGGCAAGGCTGCGGGACGAAACAGCACGGCAACATAAAAGGCTCGAAGCAGCAGGCGTAAACAGGGTATTGATCTGGGTGGTGTTAATGTTGTTTTCCACTGTGTCCAATTACACCTACTGAAGTTCACTCGCCGGCTTTATTAGCCGCACCCGACAGAGTGTTTGTCGCACTCAAAAATCTGTTTACAGAGTGACAGCGAAGGTCAGCGGGAAACGGTTTGTTCCTCTTTTTAATCAACAGTCACTTAAATGTCAGAAGAAACGCATAAAGGAGGAGAACTGGATGAGGCCAAAACATCCTGGAATGATAAATTGATCATTTATCTAATCAATAAAAACAAACTGGTTGCTTTTAGGCCTCCTGAGATCATTATTGTCAGTCTTTTTTTGCTTTATTTTGGTGTGGAGCATTGGTACGTCCCGCCTTCTACCGACACATTAAAATTGTTGTAGCGCTGTCACGCGCATCCTTTTGGGCATCGTCGGTACAAAATGGCTTCCGTCTCCGGTTGTATTGAAGATTTTCTGTTTCTGTTATCTAGAAACAGCATTAGATTTAAACTTCTTGTTTTATTTTGTTACAATTTCCCCTCTGTGGAATCAGTTAGAGCTACTTCCTGTTTCATGGGTTTTACACCTGGCTTCAGTTTCTAATCAGCATACCTATAGTGAATTTGCAACCATCATCTCTGGTACTTATTCTTCAGAAATTCAGCTCCACACTGGATTTGTAAGGCTCGATTTATTTATTTATTTTTCGTTCCCCGTGTCATGTTTTCATCACTCGTCCACTTGCAGCCCCATTTGTTAAGACATAAGAGTTGTCGATAGTAACTTCTGGGATAACACCAAACACTTATAGAACTGATGAAGTTATTTATGAGACTGTGTCTGTGACGTGTTTTACCTCTCGATAAACATACTGGTTCTTCGGCGCCCCGATAGTGGCGCTGCCCCGTAGTCGAACCTGGTTGAAAGGCCAAAGATTAACCTTGATTATGAAATGAAAAATGCAAAATTTCAAATCCTCCTTTAGTTGTTTTTCTTATCTTTTTGATTGTGAATCAACAACTCACTGGTGCCACTTTCTTGTAGTTTTTTATGCTGTATAGAGTCTATATTTTCAGGTGTAGTCAAAGTATTTTGTTTTTAGAGCAGTACTATGAAAGAAAGCTGAAAATGTCCTTTTTGTGGTGTAGAAAACTCACCTTAACAAAAAGTTGTAATATTAATTGTTAAAATTCTCAAGCCTAATTCTCTTAGTCTTAATTTTTAATGTTACAACACCAAAAGACCAAAAACAACACGCTTTTGTTTTTGTAACCATATTAATTTTGATTAAAGTACAACATGACGACCAAATTGCATAAAATAATCGTGATTATGTTGCTAATATTTTAAAAGGCAGGGAGTACTCACACATTTTCCTGGATAGTGACAGTTGCAGGAGGCGGGGATGGATGCACCCCAGTCCTTGTACCCTTCAATGAGACCGCAGCATTCCAACTGGAACGGACACAAACCGGATTAAGATTAAACATAAAACAAGAGCCACTTAATCAACAACTTGTGTGAAACATTTAACAAGAAGGCAAAGTTTTAGCAAACTAATAACTCACTTTCTGGGATCTCTAAATGACACAACACCAAGGCTTTCTAACATCAGCATATGAGGTTATATTAAAGTTAAATGAGAAAGTTAGTGAGTGGCTTTTCACCAGGGATGCAGTAAGCTCTTATCACCACTGGGTGGCGATAGCAAAATTATTTAAAGTTCAGCTACTATGTTTAAGTGAGGCTGCTGTTCCTTTAGCTTTGCCTTTAGAAAGAAAGACCTTCAATATCAGTAATCTACACTTAAAATAACTTTCTTTCAAAAACAAAACCAAAACCAGAAGACATTAGTTACTAAAATATTTCTATTTGTTATAGTGACCTGAAAAAGTAAGCAGAATTTACAAGAATCCATTAGATTGATTTATTTTATGTGGGTTGATAATTTTATTAAGAGTTTTCTTGAAAACTATTGATAAATTGTACTCTTAATAAAAGGTAGAGGCATCAGTTTATGTTGAGCTAATGTTCTTATTAGAACTAAGTTTCACAGAAATTTTAAAGAACATATAAAAATATTATTAAACTATAAATTCTCTGGCTTACTTCCTCTTGGATATTATGTAGTAACGTCCTGTTGGCTTTGTTTGGCGCAGTGAGCGGCATCATGGCCAGCAGCTTGGACTCCTCACGCACAACACGCTTCTGAAAACAGACAAAGAGCTCTGAAGAAAATGTTTGCAAAATGTGCAAACGCGTGGGATTTAAACATCGTACCTCGTAAACATCTTGGTAACTCAGTGCCGTTCTGATGATTATTGTTTGACTGGCCGCCGCCATCCCGGCTGCGTACTGCACGCAGACGCACAGGCAGTTAAATACAATAATTATTCCTTCACAAACAGAAACTCAAAAACACACAAGGAGTTTTAAGATTTTTTTTTTTTTTTTTACCAGAATCAAACACCATCGCTTCCCTTTGCAGGCCCCAAACACACCGAGCACAGACAGCAGCAGGCAGCCAACCTCGATCACATACATCATTGCTACAGAAATGCTGGGAATCATCTGAAGAGAAAAATAAAAGTGCATTTCAGTGCCTTCTAAAGTGTTCATACTGCACAAATATGTCACAAAGAAACACTAAATGCCCTTGTTTTCCAAGGAAAATGATGTATGGGTATGAACTGTTTTCACAAATAAGTATTGTGAACCTCAGCTTTGGTTTACGGTCTTTGGTTGTCTTTGGAAATGGGACTTACGGCTTTTGATTAACCATTGCTTTCCTCTTGCCACACTTTAAAATTCTCACTTGGTAGAAAATTAAAACAAGTTGAAAATCTACTACTTCCCTTCTACACGCTACTTCCTGTTAGTCTGTCAGGTAAAAGCCCCTAAAGATGAAGTTTATTATATAAATGTCTACTATTTTTGATCTGAACAGATGCAGAACTAATATAGCATGATAAAGCTTCAGGACCTAACTTTTGAAGACAACTCAACATATTCCTCGCAAATAGTTGAATGACCAGGTTATTCCAGGGGGACAAAATAGAAATATTGCTTCTATTTTGCATTTGGGATTCATTAATAATTCCTCTCCTGCCTTGTTAGCTTTTTTCAGCCCTCGACAAACATATATTTGCTTAAAAGCTGCATATAATTCATATAATTACATCAAAAACATCAGAAGTGTATCTTACCTTGCCAGTTTGTATGAGGTCCCTATGCCAAATAACAGTCATCCTCAACATGAAAAAACACAAAGCCTAGAAAAAAACATAAACATTTATTTAATTAATGAATTGTTTTTGCTTTTAGATCATTTAAAGCAGATTTAATTCAGGTTTTTGACATCTGAAATTATATATCATAGCTTATCTCGTAAATCCTTAAAGGCTATGTTTTCTTGAAGCCACTGCTGTTACTTCTTAAAGGAGCAGTGACTTATTTAGAAAAGAAAGAAAAGCAGTAAAAACCCAACCAATCAAAACATCGACCTGCTTGCATGTAACTCGTGTGACAAGCATTTACCCCCTTTCAAATTTGCAATTTATTCATATAACAGTAGTATTTATGTTAGGCAAAAACATTAACTGACACATTTTAAGAAGATACCAAACAGGCCTGTTCGGGTAAACTCCATTCAGAGCCGCTGGAATGTGCTTACCATATGTACAGCGTTAGCGAAAATAAACGGCCTTTTCAGGCTCGTTTTATCCGCCACCACGACCACTGAGCTCTTCTGCATTCTCGCTGCTGACTCTTCCAGGCTTTAAAACGCCCCTGTTTTTCTTTTTCTTTTTTCTTTTTCCTTTACATAAGAAGAAAACAGAAAGAAGCTTGCCGTGGAGACTGTAAGGGCATCTGTCGTCTGCATCCGCACAGGACGTCACTGTGATGTGCTGGATGCTGGCTCCGTGCTGCCTTCAGGTGGCGTCCGGAAGCGTAGGAAATAAGAAGTCTAGTAGTTATGAACAGCCCGGTTATTATAAAAGCGCATTAGCAAGGCTGTAGCGAGGATTATAGACATGTTAAGTAAGCGAAATCCACTCTTAATTGTTTTTTAAGCTTTAGATATGATTTAATCCTATAAAATATCATTTATCTAAATGTTTTGCCTTCAGAACAGCTTATTCTCCTGAAAGAAAATACCCCAAAACATGGCAAATTGTAAATGATCTGCTCTGGATGTTTCACAAAAATCATGTACTTTATATAAATTAAATGTAATATTGGAACTCCAATCAATTTTATGGCTCTCTTTTCATCCCAGCACCAGTTCTGGCTGTGTCTTTTACTTTAAAAATCTTCAACGCCATCAATATTTATACATTCAGACCAAGAAACCAAGCTTCCACTGGTATATGAGTCATAATCCACTATCACTTTGTATTCAGTGAGTGTGGTCCAGTGCTTTCTTTCTTCTCCAAGAAATCTCAGGGAAATCTGAAAAGTGATAGATATAATTTTGAGGAAAAATCCTAACATCTCAGATTATTGTAAGATCTAGTGGTGGTTCAAATAAGCCCAAACACAGTTGTAACATTCTTTAAATATGATTCTTTATTCTAATATAATTACAGGTTAAAAATGTTTATGCTAAAACACTTGTTTTTGGAATTGCTAGTTAGGAATAGATACATTAACAACTTGGCTCAATTTATTTATACAGGAGTCCAATCAAAATTATATCACATCACAATCAAATCTGGTTGACTATTTCATGCTAGTTGGTAAAAGGTCGTTCATGTTGTCCAATATTGAATCCACCTGAAGCAAGCATGTGGCAACCACTCCCTGTTAACAAGAGAAGGCTGCAGCAGAACCAGGCAATCCGAAACAACTGGCTTTGGGTTGAGAGGACAGGGAGGAGAGAAAGAAAAAAAAAACACAAAGGCACTGGGTGAGGGTACAAAGAAAAGCAAAACAAATCAACACAAGCTTAATGTCTTATTAGAAAAACCTTAAAAAAAACAAGGGAAGGGTCAGGACTTTATTGCAGCACTGATACGTTACCTTTAAAATGTTACTGAAAATGGTGTACTATTACTATTACTGTTTCAGTAACAAGTGAAGCTTTTAATTTTGTTTCTTTTTATCAATAAGGACAATTGAAATCAGCAAAAAGATTTGGTAACTTATCGAATTAATTATAAAATATGGTTGGAATTTAACCTTTAGATCTGAAGTGCCATTTCCTAAACAATTTGACTTGGGTTAGAAAAAAAAACCAAAAAAAAAACAAGAAAAACACATTATCTCATTCCCGTTGACTCATCGTCTCACAAGTTATCTGTAAAACAAGTTGCTGAAAGGTGGTGCTGTAGGCTACTGCAACAGTCCTTACAGGACGAGCGGGTTGAGTAAGTTCACTGCCCAACTGACTTCATTTCCCATAGTGCATCATGAGGTATGAGGCTTGGCTGGGTAGAGAAAACAGGTGGGGCAGGTTTCTGTTGTTACACACAGGTGATGTGAAGAGGGCAGGACTCGGGTGAGGAAGAACAGGAAAAACTGATGGGAGAAACTCAGTGGGAGGAACCGTGAACGAATGTTTATGTGTGTAAGAGAGCGTAAGTAAGTGCCTGGGACTGCAGACTGCTATAACAAGACTTAAATTTTAACTATTTACTACGAAGATTTATTTTCTTTTTATTTATTAGTATTATTTGGTGGGGGAGGGGATTACTGGTATGGATTTTCATGTCATTTGTTGCCTTGGGCAGTAAAGTGGGTCAACACCTGAGAAGGAGCTAAAAGGAGAAGCTGAACTGAGACCGTTTTGTCCCGCTGAAAGAGCACAAGAGAGGAAGGACATGCTAAACGTTCTGGGGATACTGAAGAGGGAGGATGCATAATTGGACAGGAAACACCGTCTTTTTTTGTTTGTTCTCTTTTTGGGGAAATAGACATAGAAGGAGTTGATTTCTGATGCATCTACTATATTAACCACAAACTAATTCGGTGATAAATATCCTCCTTAACTGTTGCTGCTTGGAACATTTTTATTTTATTTTTTCCCAAGTATCATTTTGGGCTTGTTTTTATGCCTCAATTCAACCGTAAAGATAACTAATCACCTTTCAGCTACAAAAGGTCAAATATTCCAAGAGATCTACAGTTCAGCTAAAGGAGGGATCATTTCCTCTACTCACACTGAAAACGACACACACACACACACCACTTCCAACATGCAGGCACCGCCACCTGAGCACGATGACACTTTTGATTTCCTGTTTAAGATCATCCTCATTGGGGACACCAATGTGGGGAAGACCTGCGTGCTTCAGAACTTTAAGTCAGGGGTTTTCTCTGACAAACAGCAGAACACCATCGGAGTGGATTTCACAGTGAGGACGGTGGATATTGAAGGAAAGAAAGTCAAGGTAAGCTTTCTACATAGCGTGTGTTTTGTGTTTTAGACATGCAAAAGACATTAAATGAAGGAGTATAAATCCGAACGTTGCATCGGCGTGAGACTCGGCAGTGCTGAAATATATTAGTAAGACACACGTGAGGTATAATGGAAAGTAGAGATTCTATTTTGGGGGTTGTTTTGTTAGTTTTAAAAGAAGAAAAAATGAAATTAAAATTAATAGCTCCCAAATTCATTGTCCCTGGGCTCCACGTTTAGGAGACCTCTTTTTCGAAGGAGTTTCCTCCAGTGACAGAACAGCAAGCGGCAGTGGCAGTTTGACTCGGTCCAAAACAAGCCTGACAGGCGGCTGGTATGAAGAACCGGTCCATCAGGTCCCTCCCTTTGTGCCTTTGTAATGGCACAACTAGATCTTGGACTGATCTCTCATCTCCTGCACTTGCTCTTGAAAAGGAAGCTTTCATCAAAAACTCATGATGTTTCATAGTGTTTTTTTTTTTTTTAATGTTGCTATTGTTCAACATATTTCATTGGGATTTTATGTTGTTAGATCCACACAGCACAATACGGCCTGCACCATGTTTCACAATGGGGATAATGTGTTTAGTGTGACGTGGCCGGCGCATAACTATTCGTGCTGCTGTGTCCCCTTCATGACTTTTGATAAACTTTGTAATAGTTTATGTTTAAGTATATTAGGGTAAAGAGTGCTGAATACAAATTCACACCCGTCTTTTCAGGTATTTATGTGTAAAAAGGTTGAAAAAACTACAGATTATGTTCCGCCCACTTTGCATTTTGCATTGCCATGTGTGACCTATCGCGCACATTTTGTACTAATTCATTAAGTTTAAAAAGGGCGACTACTTTCGCATATTTAATCTTTCGCTCTTGTCATTGCAAAGAAAAGATTTTCACCGTCAAAAAGCTTTTTGGTATAACAATAGAGCAATATTTTAACAATTATGTGGCAAAACAGGTGGAATATAGCAAGTCAATAAAATGCAATGAGTTTGAGTGGCTTAAATTTGAAACATCTGGATGCATTTCTATTTTTTTTTTCATACAAGCAAATTTTGTTTCTGCTTCTACAAATGTCACTCTGCAATTACTACACCTTAAGGTTGTAATAAGTGGAAATATACATGAACTGCCAAGATCTTGCTGTTCACATGAGTTATTATTTTCGACTGCTCATGTGTCTGTGACTTCGCTCAACCCCATCGGCTATTTCCTGCCTGAGGCTATGTCTATGAAGTTGTTTCTTGCAGCTGGCACAGCTATGTTTCTTCTTTTTTTTTTGTGACCTTATTCTACGTACAAAGGAAAGGAATTAAGTTTTTATTCCACCACTGAAATACATCTTAAACTAGTCAAACCTGCATTTACTTTCGGAAGACATGTGGAAACGACACTTTAGTTCTAGCTGCTTTAAATTAAATGGATGACTTGTCTCCATTAACTAGTTGTGGTGTTTTGGAAGGGGCTGGCCTGTTGAGTTTACGCTGGTTGCTACAATGTTACAAAAATCCTTGGGGAGTATCCTCGGAGATATGCTGTAAGGGCTTGGGGATTCTCCGCAGGGAAACCAACAGACTTCTCCTGCCTACCACGTATGTGTTTGTTGCTAAAGCCCTCAGTAGCTTACAGGCTAGACATACTGTCTACATATAAAATTATTAACTCAAATGCCCCATTATTGGGGATAATTTTCACACTCTCAAAGCAACATCTCCAAGATCCTCGTGTGCTTCCTGAAGGCCTCTAGCTTCTCATTATCTCTAGTAGTGATCATTAAACTCTTTAAAGAAGGAAGAACAAGCTTTCAGTTAAAGTTTATGGATCAGACCATAATAAATAAGTCACATGGTCAAAATCGGGCAACTATGACACCCCAGATGACAAAAAAGCACATGACATATTTTGTTGAATCTTTCTTTATGGAACAAATTTTAACTGGAGCAACATTTGCCTCACAGTTGTGCACAACATAAAGTTATATTTAGTTTTTCTACGACAGTTTTTATTATGTAGTGAGGAGCAGTGTCCTTTTGCATCACTGACAGTTTACCATATGGTAGAGGAAGTGTTAGTGTGGCACTCCCTGTCTTTGCCCTCATTTACATTTGACAGCTAAAGTGGTCTGGACTCAAACCAGGCCTGTATTTTGAGTCTGGGTTTGTTTGTTTCTGTTTGATGCCGTGCAACACCAACATGCTCATAAAAACCAGCTTATTATTTTTGGCTGCCTTTAAGTCGCCTTAATAAAAAGAAAAAATAAACACAATTAAATCATAGCATCTCATGTTTGTTGCCATTCATCTATCAGTCACTCTCACAAAAGTAAAAATCTCCTTAAATGGTTTTCGTGACACAAACTCTTTACCTTTTCCTCTCGGCAAAATGTTGTTGCTTTGAGTCTAAATGACATCTATAGATCTCTTTATGGGATTAAAATGTTTTTGGGTGGATTAAATTCGCAGACTCTGTCGGTCTTTCAATGCTTTAGTTTGCTCAAATTTGAGCCTACACAAAGTTCTGCATCATTTTGTGGCGTAAAGGAAGATGAGGCTTAACTGACTCAAGATTGTCACAAAATGATCTCTATAACTTAGGCAAATTTAAAAATTGTAATCTTCTAACTTCCAGAAGCAGCAAGCTGTGCAGCTTCTCTGCAAACAAGCGCAAAAAGAACATGTGCATTTTTCTGCTTCCTGTCCCTGTTTTTGGGAGTTATGTTGCTTAATTCTTCATCCTTGGCAGCCCCCCGAAACACAGGCACTAGTGGGAATTCATAGATTTCTGGGAAGTTCAGCCCTTACTCTAAATGATGTTTCTTTCATAATCATCTTTGTAATCTCATGACAAAATTGTGAAACTTTGCAATAATTTTAACTCTTCACAGTGAAATCAACTTGAAAATTGTTTGCTTCAAGACATTGCTGATTCATTTTCCAATATGCATAGTGTTAATGTAACTTTCAAACCATTAGACCAGTGTTTCTCAATTCCGGTCCTCACGACCCCCTGCCCTGCATGTTTTAGATGTTTCCCTTCTGCCACACACCTGGATTCAATATTTTGGTGATTAACAGGCCTCTGCAGTACTTGAAGGTCATGCAATCATTTGAATCAGCTGTTCTGGAGTAGAGGCACATCTAAAACATGCAGAGCAGGGGGGCCTGAGGACTGGAATTGAGAAGCACTGCATTAGACTGATTATTTTGTAAAAAAAAAAAAAAAAAAAAAAATCCCACTTGTTACATATTACTTTCTATTACATGAAAACCTTATACGAGCTTGAACTTAACACTCGGATGCATTATTTCTGTGTGATGCAGATGCAGGTGTGGGACACAGCAGGTCAGGAGAGGTTTCGGACCATCACTCAGAGTTACTATCGCAGCGCTCACGGCGCCATGATTACCTATGACATCACACGAGGCTGCACCTTTGATTCGGTGAACCATTGGATCAAGGAGGTAGAGCTGTACGGAGCTGCCAATGTACTCTTGGTGCTAATAGGTGAGTTAGATTTTGACTTTTGTAGCAAATAAAGATACTCTGCTTGTATGAATCAACTGATTTTGATCTATGACTTTTTATGTACTTTGGGTAAAAAATATATCATGCCACAAAGATCGGTATCTATTTACTCTAAAGGAAAGGAAAAGCAAGAGAACATAGCATAACAAAATGTTTTCAGAAAGCTGTTTGAGTGCTTGGTCTTGAACCATACACGCTTGTCAAGCCCAAACATCAGCAGGATTATGTGTGCTGCCAATATGGCTTCATGTCCGTCTCCATTTAGGTAACAAATGTGACCTGGAGGAGGAACGGGAGGTTCCGTTCGAGAAAGCTTGCAATCTGGCAAAAGAAAGAGGCATACTCGCTGCTTTGGAAACATCTGCTAAGGTAATGCAAACGAGCAAGGCTTAGACTCTGAAATTTTGGTTGATTTTTTATTATTATTATTATTTAAAGCATTTCCTCTTTTACAGGAAAGTCAGAATGTGGAGGAAGCCTTCTTGATGATGGCCAAGGAGCTGCTGTCTCGTAACGGCCTCAACGTCCAGCAGGATGAGAACAGCGGCATGCCTCGGATCCTCCTCAGAGAGAACTCTCGACCAATCGATGTCAGCATAGGCGCCTACGTTCCTCCGGAGAAAGAGAAGAAGTCGTGTTGCTGACGCAGAGAAACTGTGACTGAAGATGCTTGAAGGGTTTTATTTATCGGGAATGTGGATGAGTGAAAGAGGATCTTGAAGTTCTGTGACGTCGAGGCATGATGTACTGAGCGTCTGCCAGAAGGCAGATGTCAAAGATATGGTGAAGAAATGTTCGTTGTATCTGATCGGAGAGGAATGCTGACGAAGCGTCTTTACTGGAAAGACCTGCGATCAGTGTTCAGGAAGCGCTAAAGCCCAACGACCTCCTTTTATATCAACTGGTCCATGTTACTAATATTTTTCTAAATTCAAAACAGTTTAAGGCAAATACATTTACACCATTGGAAGTCTAACAGTGTGCTAAGAGCTTGGGGTTGTTTTACGGTGCGATTTTGTTAAAATGAAGTTGAAATGTTTTTGAAAGAATATATATTTTTAATCTGTTGTCTCTCACTACACTGTGGATTTAAGTTTCCAAAACGGCTTGCCATACTCAAAACTACTGTGAAATAAATAAGTCTGAATTGATTTCACGACACAGCTGCAAAAAGCTGTGAAAATAAAAATGCCATATTTGATTATGAGTAGCTTCCAGCGAACTCCTTGAGCCCGTCAGGAAATTCTGACCTCTGAGGAAAAGTAATCTGACGTTTCTAACCCATTGAACACTGAAGCGACACTGTCTGAACACTAGATGGTGCTGTGCTGCACCGCATGATCTGTGGCCGCCGTTAGGGTTGCCTTTGCCTTGTGTATAAAAAAGGGAAACGTGATTTGAAAGAGGAAACAAAAATGTGTCCAAACACAAACAGTTTGCCTCAAAGCCATTTTCCGGAAAAGATGTAGTGTATTATTACAATAAGGTCATCACACTAGAAAAAGAGGTCATTACTTTTCTGAGACAGTCACTGGTAAATTTAGCCTCGCTAAGATATTCATACATCTATAAATATTTGCTAGATTTGTCCATGTTTTATTAATAAAATTCAATCTTTCTCTTGGGAGTGGGGTTGTATCATAGACCAACTTGATTTGTAAAAAAAAAAAAAAACTGATATTTTATTTTTTATATTGCCCTTTGTACAACTTTGTGTTGGCCTATCATAAAACATGGGGGAAATTTTATACTTTTGGCGACGTTGCTAATATTCACCAGTATGTGTTTGGGGGCGGCGGGGAGAAATCTTCTCCCTTTCCAGCAAGCAATTAATGAACCGTATCGGGCTTGGCTACAAAATCATTTTTGTGCTTTTGATTAATACACTAGTTAAAAGTGGAAAATGGATTTGAAATGTATCCTTGAGGCAGAACTGCAGTAAGTACCGGGATTCAGAGGCCAAACAACACAAAAACCTTGTTTGTAATAGACCTAATGTTTCCATAATAATTGCCGTGCAGTATCACATCACTATAATAAATGTTTTGCTGGTCACTTTGAGTAGAGCTTCAGGCAAATTCTCAGCAATCTCCATGTAGGACAAGCTGAGCCAAAATCAGCTTCCAGTCATTTCTCATGGTTGTGCTTTACGCCCAAATTAAATATGTCTACCCATATAGTTTGCTATTAATCACTGCGGTTCCTTAGGAAAACAAATAATCAGAAAAAATAGATCCAAATTTATTTCCAGAAAACAGGCAAAAAATGACAGACATTAATGTGGAAAAAAAACAAATGGTAAAATAAACAAAAAAACGTACATATCCCGAGCCCAAAATTACTGTAAAAGAAAAAAAGAGAGTAGCTTCTGATCACTAGGGTTTTGCAACCTAAACAGGCTGAATTTGGAATAAGATAAATAGAAATTTAGGTCTCATCAATGCCTTGAAAAACATAACTTGACAGTGAAACAGTTGAACGTTAAAAATAAAACGTTAATCATCCTGCATGAGTTTTCCGCTACTTAAAAAGGATGTTGCTTACAAATTACTTTACCCCAATGTTGTACTTCACATTACTTTTTCCTCAAACATTTAATCACCAAATCCCACTTTATTAATCTATGTTGACCTCTGACCTGCATGTCAATCGTCATGTTAAAATTTCTCTCAAAGTATAACCACACCGGTTCGATTTTAGCTCAGCCTGATGATCTCAAAACCATTCTTTTTCTCCTTTATGGGCTGGGGTAGAAGCTGCCCTTGTCCCTCGCCCATATCCCCAATCGCCTCATTCTCTGACCCTCCTTGTCCTTCCTGCCCAGTGTCGGTCCCCTCCGTCGGTTTATCCACAGGACATTCCCCGTTGTAGGTTTTGACGTAGTCTTCCACCTGCCAGCCCCTGAACTCCAGCGGCTGCGAGCAGACCAGGCCCGTGTACGAGACGCTCGGATGGTGCTTGAGCCAGTAGACCAAGTAGTGGATGTTGTAGTCGCAGATCCACGGGTTGTTGTCCAGCGTCAGCCTCCGCAGGAAGTACAGGTCCTCCAGCACGCCGTACTGGAAGTAACGAAGGCTGTTGTTGGACAGGTCGAGATCGCGGAGGTACAGCAGGCCTGCAAAAGCAGCTGGGATGGGAAATGTGCAATAAAGGTTAGCCTAATTCACAAAGGACCAAACATAATTATCCACATCAAATGCATGTTTAACTCCAACAACGTCTTGTATTAAAATGTCCCCCCAATAATTGTAGATTTTAAAACATAAATTTGCTATCGGCTGCCCTTGAACATTGAACATGTATACAGAGACAATCCATTAGGACGAAGTTTGCTTTCAGTAAAAGTTGAGTCTCTGTTTATTTGTGCCAAAAGCTAGCAGTCAAGATAGTTTTGAGAATGCGATAGCCTCTGGATGTTTTTCCGCAGGAGGATATTCAGATAAGTCTCACTGGTGTGGCTTTGAGGCAGACCTAGGTCTATTTGGGAGATCATCGTTATCTCATGACTGACTTTGGAATTTGGAGAGAGGCTAAGCAAGTCAGACCGGCATACAAAGGGCCATTTTTGCTCAGCGTTAAACAACACAGACACCTATTCAGAGCCTTCTGTTCACCGTCTGTGTTGGTTTTGTGGGTCATTAGAGACCTTGTGGATGGGTTCTCCAAAGGAATAAAAATGAGCAATATAACAACATGGGGGCAGTGTGGCTCATAAACGATCGGCAAAAGAATGGTGACCGAAATGATGGAAGAACTTCTACTTCCAAACGCTATGATGTATCTTCATGATTTATTGACTGCACAGACAATACCTCCATCTGCAGTGCCTATCTTTTTTTTACATCTGCGTCTTTTATCACAGCTAACTCCCCTGTCGCCAAGTTTGCTGTTGTCTGAAACTGACCTCTGAATTCAGAAGCTAACTCAGATCTGCTCTGTGCTGAATGCAATGCTTTGCAATCCCAACTTAATAAACTTATTGAAAACCTGAGGGAATATATGCCAGGTGCAAAAGGGTGCATAAATCTTCCCATAACATGTCCACTTTGAGCTGCTGATTCATTTTAGGATGAACAGCACATATAACGGCCGGAGCTTTCTCACTGACATCAAAAGTAACACATTTTGAAGGACCTGCAAGTCTGTTGGTCTTTCCAAACCAGTCGGCACATAAAAAAGACCAGCTTACATGAATAGAATAACAGACAGCGACTTCAAATAGGGATAATGAACGTCTTTGAGAGCTTCCAGTCTTGTCGCTGCTCTGCTTTTCTCAGAGTGCACCTATGAAAACATGTGCAAGAGTTTAGAGTGGGAGTAATGGGATGGCGGAGACTGTTTCTTGCTGTCCGCCAGCCTCCGGCCCTGCTTTTATCTTTACAGAGTGGAAGAGAGGATAGAGGAGGAGGTGGGGAAAAAACAAAAAACGGAATGAGAAGACCAAGCGTGGTAGAAAGCCGGGGCAAAATTAAAAACATTGCGGAAATCTTGAGAGACGTAAACGGCAAACACTTTCATTTGTGCTAAGGTCTGAGAAACTTTGGGTCCGTTCAGCTGTGTTTACGGCACGGATAAACAGAAGCGTAGCAGAGAGGGAAGGGACTTCAGGGTCCCATCTCTTGATCGTGGGACCCTGTGCTCCCAAATCAGCTACTGTTGGTTGTTGAAGCCACCATAACCAAACCAACTCCTGTCTTTTCCCCAGAGGATGAAATTAACCGCTATTACCACTTAGCTATTTGTCAGTCATTAGCAGCCATATTTCCCAAAATGCCAATCTGAATTCTCTCTGAACCCGGCAATTCTGTCTGTGACAGATCTCCCAAATAGGCCTAATCTCCGTATGTTAAGCTGCATTCATCACTGGGAGGCCCTAACTGCCATGGTTCATCCAGAGCAAAACAAAATGCTAAACTTTACAAGTCAAAGACAAAAGTGGTGTTTTTTTTTTTGTTTTTTTTCTTCAAACCAAAACTTTCCGGCGCAACCCCCACCAGACGTAACTGGATGTTTATCAGCGTGTTCGCTTGTAACAATCCATAAAATTTAGTGGATTTGCATTCATCTCCCCTCCCCCCACTCCACACCCCACGGCCCCCTGGTCACCTTCCACTTGAAAAGGATAAATAAACAACCTCTTAAAAATTCACTCCAAATGTGAACATGATTAGAAGGTGTTTCTTGGGGGAGGATTGTGACCATATGTCTCGGAGTCTTACAAGCTCTCAGAATCAAATGGAACTTCTTCCGTTGGTTTACAAATGGCTTTAGACACACTAGGGCGAGCCGCGGTAGATAGCTTGCACGTGTCGATGGCTGACGAGAAAAGCTACAAATGTTTGTGGCAGGATTTGCCTGCTGGACAGGAGAACTCGAAGCCAGAAATCGTTAGCCTGGTGAAAGTAATGGATAAGCTTACTTTTTTTTTTAAGAATCTCTCTGCTGCTGAATTCAGAGAAGACAATCAGAGAGAGAGAGAAAACTTCTTCAGATTACTAAATGCTCACTTTGTTTTCTGTTTGATGCACTGATGGTATTAATTGTTAATTATTTTATCTAAATAATGCATCAATGCGAAAAACTACAGTAAAAATAATAGCGCATTTATTTGTTCTCGATTCCTTGTCACCTCAATACTTTTATTTTTGATTTTAATGCATTTTGCGTTTCTCGTTTGATTTTTTACCCAGGAAGCACAATGGCTAAACCGTGAGTGAAACTGTCACTGGGACTGACTACTATATATTTCATTGAGGGAAAATAGCTTAAACATTAAACAAACCTTTCTCAACAGGCAAGGGTGCACTTTCTCTGCACCTTTCTCTGTGCCCCACTATAGCGCAGCGCCTGCTCCAGCTCCCCGTGTTCTCTCTTTTGTGAGTTTTTGTTAATCTTTTCTTATCATTAAACATTCATCATCAACTTGCCATTTCTGCCTCTCTGCATTCGCGTCCAATTCCACCACCAATCATGACACAGACTTTTAAATAAGACTTAGGATGTTGATTTTGGACTGTGAACACGTCCAGTGTTGTAGAGTTGTTTCTTTTGGTGGTGTTTTCCGATTGACCTCTCGTAATTCATCTTAATTAATCACCACACCAGACAAAGAGTCTTTAAAGCATGCAGCACAATGAATTCCAAGAATATGTACATCCGTCCGTCATGCAGCTCTTCTGTGGAGCTCATGATTGATGCGTTACCTGTGTCTATGTGTTGCAGGTTGTTGCTGCTGAGGTTGAGCAGCTTGAGTTCTTTAGACAGCAGGAATTGTTTGGGCCTGAGATGTGTGATGATGTTATTGGACATGTCCATCCCCACTATTTCCAACGGCAGCTCCGGCGGAATTTGATTCAGGTCTGTGGAAGGGGAAACGAAAAGAGAACCGTTGAAGGAGAAAAGTGACGGAGGAGAGTGTGAAAAGGCCAAACCAGACTTTACATTTGTCGCGAGACGCAAAGGTGCATTTACATTGAGGTTTTTAAAATCAAAACCTCATTAACCCCATTGATGGATTTACAGCTCCGAGGCAGATGCTCAAAACACATGAGGTTGGAACAGAACCGGAGCAGAGAGTTGGAAACTCAGTCAGTCTGGATCTTATATGTTTTCAAGATGTGTCGGTTGTGTGCGACCTTTTTATGTGTTCAAGATGGAGCGTGTACAACATTGCTTGACTTGTTTTTTCCCCAATTGTTCCGGCTTCATACACACCGATTTGTCTTTGATAAGATTGAGATGCCATATTTTCGTCTTGCAAACGCTTCATCCTCCTTGCACTTTCAAGACGTACGTTTAACAAGGTAATCACAAAGCTGTGAATGAAAAGGTGCACATGTAACATGCTCTGACAGTAAATGTCATGTAAAGCTAACTGCATATGTGCTTAACACGTGCTGAAAAGCCTCATGCCAAAAAAATGACATTTTTACAGTTTATGAATTGGTTTTGTGGCTCCTACAGCTTGATTTACCTGTCAGGAGGAAAAAGTAACATGGAGAACGTTAAAACTGGAGGTAACATATAATGTGTTTAAAACAACATAGGTGGCCTGACTAACTTGTTTCATCGTTTATCTCTGAAGCAAAATGGTTGTAGATGAGAAAAACATACCATGCATTTCAGAAACATTGAAAGCGAACTGCTATACATCTTACCTGAAGTCAACCACCAGCTAGAAAGTGATTCTTTTAGAATTGTATAGGATGGAAAATACATAAATCTCCAAAGTGTGCAATGTGTGTCATTTGAGTTCAACCTGAAGCAATAGTCTTTGTATAAACTGATTATATTGCAGCTGTTACTGCAGTTTATTTAGATCTGGACTTTGACTGGGACATCATTTGATAGGACTTTAACTCTGGCTAAAATCCTATTTTTAGTTGTTGCCTCCAACAGGTTTTTTTTTTTGTGACCCTAAGCTGTGATTAGCTTACCGAACGAAGCATCCCACAGCATGATTCTGTCACCACCGTTCCGTATGGAGACCATTGAATTATTTTTGGTTAAACTTTTTCACTGGATGCTCCTTGGAGTCGTTCTGTCCAAATAAAACACTCTGACATATATGCTTGTAATGCTGCAAAATGTAACTAGATTCTAGGAGTATGAATTATTGCTGTGGTTATATTTTAATCTAGATTAGAAATGTTCAAGTCTCTGTTTATGTGGGTTTCCTCTAAGTATTAACTTACACAGAGTTTATGCTTTGCAAAGAAAAAGAAAAAAAAAGAATGCTTATGGGGGCTTTTATGGAGCAGATGTTGCAGTCTTTATCTATCCGCTTTATTACGACAGATGCTGCAGCGAGTTATCCTAAAGCCCCGTTACAATAAATCACTTCTAGTTTAAGAGAGAACAATCACACACACAAGCAAGACACCCATATATTGAGGATGGGGGGCCCCGTAATGAGGAAATGTACTTATTATTTTCCTCTGATGATGTTAAACGCGCAGCAGGCGGACACATGGTGGAGAGGATGGGAACAGACTTCGAAGACTCTGTGGTTTCATGTTGCAAGTTGTCGGTCCAGCTTTGAGAGAATACTTCTCCCGAGAGGTCCGAAGAGAATCCTAGCCTGCCTTTAGGTGTCTATGTCTCTCCAGCATTGTCTTAAAAAAAAAAAAAAACGGCATTCAGTTCCAAACTTGCATTCCCAGGCTCTTTTCACAGACTTTAACCTTGAGCCAAAATCAACATTTATTTATTTTTTTCTGTCTAACTGTGATACATCTGTGGTCCCATGTGTTTTGGAGCAATTTTCAGTATGTTGAATTAAGGAAGAACACAAGTCTCAAATTTCGAATTCCAGTTTAATAAAAGTCGAGCCAAAAAGCTATTACCATGGTTCAAATCTCAACTCGAAAGATCCCTCAATGCACCAAATGTTTCGGCTTTACAGACTTAAGCTCAACACTTTCTACCTCTGTTCAAAGTGTCAAATGTAGCTGAATGAATGAATGACCAAATAACAGAGGAAGAGAGATAACATGTCAGGAAAAGTAATTGTCACTCCAGGCCCAGTCATAATCGGGCCTGGACTGTGCTGTTGCTAAATCTGTTAAAGTCATTAATCTGCAGAACATCTGTTCCACTTTTTGCACCAAAGAGAAAAATGATCCTTGGATGAAAACCCGCTGATCTTTCAGTCTATTAGAGCAAAAATGTTTCAGTCTGTTAAGGCGTCGCTGTTCATGTTCGTAGTTTGGTTTAAGAACACATTTTTCGTTTATACTAATATAGACCCAATATCCAGACTATCCTCCCTGTTTCTGTTTCAGAAAAGCGCCTCTGCAAAATCACAGTGTTTCACAGTTGTGTTTTTTTCGATGTGTGGCGTTTTCTGCCACACAGAATTGGGTGTATACCAAACTGACTTCTTATAGCTTTCTTTTGTCACAATGCTGGGGAGTTTGAGTTTGGTTTTGATTGGTGTGTATATTTATGTTTATGGTTTAGTTATGTTCTTTAGATTTTTTCATATTCTTTTCAGTTTTTTGCATTAGTGCAAACAAGCTTTTGCATCTACTGTCCTATCATGTGTCTCTAATTAATCCCCTGGTTCTTTATCCATTTCCATTCCGCCCTTTTGTTCCGTGGTTTGAGAAATTTCTTTATCAATCTTATACAGGAAAACAGAAATGAAATCTGTTGTGAAAGAAGAAATGAGAGAAGGTGACATTTTATCAAGACTTTGACTTGGTCATTCATATTTAAATTCTAACCTGAAAAGAAGAGGAAAATGTCCTGCAGGAATTTATGAATGTGGCCAATCACAGGATACAGTTGAGCATGTACTTGTGAATTGTATAAAATGTTATAGAGAAAAAAGTACTCAAAATTGATTTCACGAGGAAAAAGAACAATTTAAATTAGTTGAGTTATCGTACTTAAATTCAAATAACATTTTAA